TCCTAATTGAAGGATGGGAACAGAAAAATTACGTGGATGGGCTACAAAGGATGGGTGAATGATGTCAGAAACAGTTATGTATTGTGCATATTGTTGTGGGGGCAAAACTAACAGGCATATTAGAACAGATGTATAACTAGGGAAAGGTCCAGAAACTGGTTGCTAGTTAGAGATGTTATAACAGGCATATTAGAACAGATGTATAACTAGGGAAAGGTCCAGAAACTGGTTGCTAGTTAGAGATGTTGATGTGGTATCAAAACTTTTTATTTAACTGGTGGGTAGGTTGGACGAGGAGATGTAAAAAACTGGTTGTTTAACTGGTAGACAACGAAATCTTTGTTGCTAAAATGTTTGGAATGCAATACATAACAGGGATGATAAGGGATGATAGTATATGTCACTGATGTTCCGACACAAAACTTGCATTGGCTGCCATATAAGTATGAAAGATAACATATAGCGCTGAAAGTTAACTACTTCCAATAAAAGTTAACCTGTAGCTCTGAAACTTAACCACTATCAGAAATAGTTAACATGTAGCTCTAAAACTTGACATATATCAGTTAGAGTTAACATATAGCTCTGAAACTTAACCATTTATAGTAAACATTAACATATACACGTGATACTTAACCAAATTCAGTTAGAGATGACAAAGATGATGGATATTAGAACAAGCTGAGAAGATTGTTAGGGAAAATATGGAAAAAGGGCACACTTTAGAGATTAGGCAATCTAGAGATGATATTTTCGAAGTGCAATCACATAGAACCACTCGCGTTGATTTGGAGAATAGAACATGCACTTGCCGAGCTTGGGACGTAACCCGTATTCCTTGTGTCCATGCTTGTGCAGTCATTATTTATATGAAAAGAGATGTATATCAATATTGTGATTGGTTCATGTCCGTAGAAGCGTTTAAGAAGAGCTACGACGAAATATTATATCCCATACCAGACTATGAGAAGCGGAGTGTGCCCAAGGATGAAATCCAGATTTTGCCACCACTTACCACTAAGAGGAGGGGAAGAAATAGAACAAGACGCATAAACAACAGAACCATATACAAACGGCCCGTCAAATGTTCTCGGTGCAAAGTTGAAGGTCACAATAGAGCAACCTGCAATGAGCCCATCCGTGACTAGTGTGTTTCAGCTTCTAACAACAATACTTTTGTATGAGACATATAGATGGTTTTAAAGTTGTACTTAACAACTTTAAAACCATCTATATGTCTCATACAAAAGTATTGTTGTTAGAAGCTGAAACACACTAGTCACGGATGGGCTCATTGCAGGTTGCTCTATTGTGACCTTCAACTTTGCACCGAGAACATTTGACGGGCCGTTTGTATATGGTTCTGTTGTTTATGCGTCTTGTTCTATTTCTTCCCCTCCTCTTAGTGGTAATTGGTGGCAAAATCTGGATTTCATCCTTGGGCACACTCTGCTTCTCATAGTTTGGTATGGGATATAATATTTCGTCGTAGCTCTTCTTAAACGCTTCTACGGACATGAACCAATCACAATATTGATATACATCTCTTTTCATATAAATAATGACTGCACAAGCATGGACACAAGGAATACGGGTTACGTCCCAAGCTCGGCAAGTGCATGTTCTATTCTCCAAATCAACGCGAGTGGTTCTATGTGATTGCACTTCGAAAATATCATCTCTAGATTGCCTAATCTCTAAAGTGTGCCCTTTTTCCATATTTTCCCTAACAATCTTCTCAGCTTTAGGACAAAGATAGCTTGTCCACTTACACGCCATTATCCGTCTGTTGTTCATGCGAGTCATAAGTTATTTTCGGATATGCTCCACCATTTGCAGGATACGTAACAAACAGGCTTCACGTATCCAGCTGTTAAAGGATTCTGCGACATTAGAGGTTACATGGCCATATTTGCAAAGGTCAACATTTAGAAAGTATGATGGGCATATAATATGTTATCTTCTTAACAAGTGACCATAAAACTTAACCTATACTGCTAAAGGCTAACATAAAAACATCATAGTTAACATATATTGGTTAAAGTTAACATATATCAGCGAAGGTTAACCTATAAAAAGGATACTTCACATATATGCATAACAGTTAACATCAACCGCAAAACGTCATAATGATTGAATGCATACCTAATGCCAGGGAAGAAGGCATTTGCCCAATGCTCTGGCGAGTAATTAATTGCAATCTCATATGCGGCTGGAGCCATATCATAAATTTCCTTCATGTAGTCGTTCCATTCCGCTATAGTGTATTTATAGCATGCAGTTTGGAGCAAATTCCCCAAAACCTATGTGTCCTTTGCCTTCATTCCCAAATCCTTGAGCTTTGATCTAAAATTTTCAACTAGATGCAGAACGCAGCGTGAGTGAATTGCTTCGGGGAAATATTCTCTCACGGCTTCTCGAATCCCCTTGTCAGCATCAGAAATAATTACCAATTGGTGGGGGGATTGTACGGGGTCCAACCTTTCATACAGTATGGACCACAGGCCTTGTAGGAACCATCTCCAATTATCAACATTTTCTTGATCACATATACAATACGCAAGTGGAAATATCCCTTGGTCTCCGTCATAGGCTATGGCGCTCAGAAGCATGCCTTTATATCTGTCTTTCAAAAAGGTCCCATCCAAAAATAAAAGGGGTCTACAGCCATTTAAGAAACCCTGGATGCAAGCAGCATAACATATAAACAGTCTTCTGAACCTTCATTCTGGTCAATGCAAATGTAGCTTCCTGGATTCGTTTGCTTCAACATTTGCTCATACCTGTACAACAATGCCGCTTCTGGACATGTAAATAAATATAATACATTGGAACATAAGGGTAACATATTAACATTAAAGCGGCTACGATAAACATTTGCACACAAGTTATAAATTAACTGTAATATTTACCATCTTAATTGATCATAAGCCTCATAGCTATCACCATACATATCCTGTTGCGCTCTTTCTTTGCCCCACCATATCTTACTGTATTCAAGTCTCAATCCAAATCGAGTGAGGAAGTCCTTTTGCACATCAATTGGGCGGATTTCAGGTCGTGCCTTTAATACCGGTCGCAATTGGGCTGCTATGAACTTGCGAGATGCCCGTGATTGCCCTGACAAGCTAGAATGTTGTCCGCAACTGTGTTCATTCACAAACCTTTTGATTTCCATTCTTTTATCATTTTTAACAGGAGCTGCATAGAGCATCCAAGGGCATCCATACGTCTCCTTATATCGACAACAAACACGGATACATTTGGGTTCATTCTTTACAAATTCATATTCAAATTTTTTGGCGATGGAATAGTATTGCAAAGCTAGTCTCAATTCAGTTACGGTTTCAAATTGTTGCCCCTTTTCAGTTAATGCTGTGTGCCACCATTGAGGAATGCTCGAAGTGTTATTGAGAATATCATCAGCCCTCATTACAACCTCACCAGACGGAAAATCAGTTTGGATTCTCTCTGAATTGGATGCATTTCCTGGAGTAGGACAACTATAATCTGAATTCAAATAGGCATCCTTGTTGCACAATTTAATCAAACAGTGAGATATCCTGCACACTATGTCAAATAATCTTCTTATAACTTAAGTTATCAGCACTATGATGAAAAAGTTAACAATATGCATGGTTAACACAGCACACCAAAAGTTAACTAACTGGGTGTAAATTTAACCATTTTGATTAAAACTTAACATAGAGCAGTGGAATTTAACAGACAATGGACATAGTTAACACATAAATACGAAAGTTAACATGTTCAAGAAAAGTATAACATGTTCCAATGAGAGTTAACATGTTCATATAATAGTTAACATATATCTTAGATAATTAACCTGTAAGCTGAAGGGTTAAAATGTACCCATCAGCGTTGACAATTATTTTTCCCCAAAGTAGCATCGAAACCTGAAATCACAATTTCAACATCCCACATATACCAGTTTCAAGCAGAGTTCATTCTATTACTTACAAATCAGTAATAACTTTCTGTTTTTTCCTCAGTAGGACACTACTTGGCATCAACATCTTGCATTTTAATCAGAACAATTCTAGTTATTTACTTGCGTTCCAACGTGCACTTAAAATCATGCAGAATATAGCATTATCACCTGACGGCACCATGCTCATCAACTCTTTGGAACCCGTTGGGGGATCAAATTTATGACGACGGTTATACGGTTACATTCAGGGGATTTAAAGCCCAGAGGGGTCATTGAAAGTTGACCAAAAGATAACGGTGTTTACATCACACTAAGCACAATGTTATAAAGAGTTTACTAATTACTTACATTTCCCTAATAACTTTCTGATTCTTCCCTGACGTGGAACACTCTACATTAACAGCAGCCTGCATATGAATCTTCGTACAACCAATATTTCGATTGTGCTCCAACATGCACTTCAGGTCATCTTCGTTCTCAACCGAAAAACTCAGGTTGGGGTGCCTCTCAGATTTATATATCAGGAAAAAGATTCTTCAGGTACTTTCAATCTTTCAGCCACACCATATTTCAGTTCATAAAAGCTTGTTGTCGACATTAGCTTCATAAATATGGCATTCTCGCCTAAAGACACCATGCAAATCAAGTCATCGGCGGCCATTGGGTGGTTGAGAGTTATGAGGACAGTTATGAGGAGGTGAGGAGTAATTGAGGTGATTTCAGCCGCATAGGCGTGGTTGACAGTTGAATAACATACCCTAATTTCATTAATGAGAGAGTGAGAGCTAGAACTAACCGATTTATAGTACCGTCTGATGAAGCAGCACAGTAATGAAGGGAGCGCGCGCTTTTTCCCCCCGCTTTCCTCCGTCGCTTCGCCTTAAATGCGATGGGAGCGGTCGCCGCGAGAGGCGGAACCCATTTAGCCGGTTTTCGTTTGAGAGAGAAGAGGGTAATTTAGGTATGTTGGTCAAAATACACCCAATACATGTATAAGAATGAGGTTTTAGGGCTGGGCCGCATTTTTCACCATTTAATGGGGCTACCACGCAATCTCCCACCGGGCCCCACAATTTCCTCTCCCCAATAAATATCCAATCCCCTGCAACAAATCCCGACCGTCCGTATCACCAAAACGTCAGATGCGACCGACACGTGTCGATCCACCGTCGTCGGAGCCACCCTCTCACGATCCTTCAGACGAAAGCGGTTACTCTTTTTAAATCCCGCCTTCTCAAAATGAACCACGCCGGCCTCAATTTCGTCGGCATTTTCCCCAAATAAAAACCCTAGATTTTTCCCACCGATTTTTTTCTTTTTCTTTTTTTTTAAAAAAAGATGGTGTTTGATCTCAATTTGTCGTCTCCAGAGGACTTGAGCGTTGATTCTGGGACTTCAAATTCTTCCTCCTCGTTTTCTTTGCTGGATCTCAGCTTAATGGGCTGTGATTCGAGGCAGCAGCAGGCGATGAAGAGGAGCAGACGTGGGCCGAGATCGAGGAGTTCGCAGTATCGGGGAGTTACGTTCTATCGGAGGACGGGGAGATGGGAATCCCACATATGGTTAGTTTTTCTTTGATTATTTTTTTTTGGAAAAGATTGATTCTTGGAGTTTTGCGTATAAACCCTAATTTAACGTTGTTGAGTTAGAACAATGCGAAAGATACCACATTGGGGGTGGTTTAGCTTAATGTGTTAGAATTGGGAGCTAAATTAATAGGTGGTATATATACTTTTGGAGGCTACGTTTGCAAATATGTTTTATTTGTGGTTATATAGGTAGAATTCCTTGATCCTTTTCATGGTTGATGTGTGAATGTAGCTTGAAAGTTGATTTTTTTTTGTGCATTTTGATGTAGAATTTGAAAAAGGTTGGTTCTTTTTTTTTTCCTCTTCTTTTTTTACTTGAGCAGGGACTGTGGGAAGCAGGTTTATTTGGGTAAGTATTTCTTTATTTTTCTTTTTATGTTTGATATTTTTAATTTATTAATATTGCGTTTCGATCTGTGGTTGGCTTAAATTTTTTAGGGGGATTTGACACTGCTCATGCTGCAGCCAGGTTGGAATTTTGTTTCAATTTATCTACTTCTTTTTGTTAACTTGAACCGTATTTTATATAAATCCTTTTCTAATTTAGATGGATTTTTGCTTTCAGGGCTTATGATCGAGCTGCGATTAAGTTTCGTGGGGTTGATGCTGATATCAACTTCAATATTAGTGATTATGAGGATGATCTTAAACATGTCTGGATGATTGGTTACTTTATTATCTACCGATCTATTTGTAAGTGAATGATTTAGTTTTAATTTGGTTTTTCTCCCGGTTTTTCTTTCTTTCAGATGAAGAACCTAACCAAGGAAGAGTTTGTGCATATACTTCGTCGCCAAAGCAATGGATTTGCTCGTGGGAGCTCCAGGTACAGAGGGGTGACACTTCACAAATGTGGTCGGTGGGAAGCTCGCATGGGACAATTCCTTGGTAAAAAGTATGAAAACCTTCAACCCTTAAAATTTCCCTTAAATTTAGACTAATATATTGCTCATATGTAACTTGTGACTGCGTGATATCTGTCCTAAGACGTGAAACCTTCTAACTTGTATGGAAAGTGTTCACTGGATGTTTTCGTGATGGCTAAATATACACAAATCATAAAAAAATGCTAATCACATTAACAAATTTTGAATAACAATTGATGAAACGTACAATATTTTTTTTGAAGCTCTGTGGAGAAACCAATCTTCTAAGCAAGGGCCATTTATATACATGCTTTATTTAATTCTTGCTAGGAAATTATCTTGATTCTATCTTGCTAATATTCTTCTGTAGTGTGGGTGTTTATTTAATTGTATCTTTATTTTACTTACAGCTCGGTGAGTCGGTAAATTAAACTTTAGAGGAGGAACAATAGTTGCATCTTTCATTGCATGGGTGCCTATGATTTTCCTCCACCTCTTTCTTGAGCAATATTAGCAATATGTATCCTCTCATACGACTCCTTTTTTTCACCTTGCTTTTGTGCTTGTTTGTGATTGTTAAATTTTAGTCGATAAGAATCTAGATGCAGCGCACAAGTCAATTTCTCTTCTTTGTGGGTCCTCATCTCAAACAGTGATATCATTTTTAAAAGCTCTTGTAGGTGTAATTGTTTTCTAAATGCTCATTACTTCATGTTTATTCTTGATTATTCGTTCTCTTGTTGCAGGTATATATATCTTGGGTTATTTGATAGCGAAATTGAAGCTGCAAGGTCCTACCGAACACTGATTTTCTAGGTATATATATCTTGGGTTATTTGATAGCGAAATTGAAGCTGCAAGGTCCTACCGAACACTGATTTTCTACATGTTGGCAATAAGTTCCTTAGTACAGCGAAATTGAAGCTGCAAGGTCCTACCGAACACTGATTTTCTACATGTTGGCAATAAGTTCCTTAGTACGAATAAGAAGTTTAACGTGGTTGCTAACTATCACAGTTCTTCTGTTGGTGGTCAGGGCTTATGACAAGGCAGCAATCAAAAATAATGGAAGTGAAGCTGTTACCAATTTTGACCCAACTACTTATGATGGTGAAATACTTCCTGAAACCGATAATAGTGGTATTACCGGTTCGTATATTTTTCCACTTGTTGTTTTTTCTGAAGATATGATTTCGGATGAAGGATCATGAACTGGCCTTTTATTTGCAATTGTTTGTCCTGGGATAGTCAGCGGGCTCAATCTTGATTTGGAATTGAAGATTTCCCAACCAAACAGTCACAACCCTAATAGGGATGATAACTCCTTGGGCGTTCAATTCGATCCTGGCCCTTATGAAGCTTCAGATTCTAGGAATGCTCGGGTACATAAGTCTACCATTGAAACTTTTCTTGACAATCATGAAATAGACTTTCAGGATAAATTTGAAAGACTTGTTGGTCTTGTTAAATAAGTAAAAGGCTTAATATTTCCGATTTTTAGCCTTCCTAGTATGTGGAACGAGAATTTCTTAAGTGATTTGTGTTAATATCAATTTCTTTTTGTAATTCATCTAACATTCACTTATTTACTAGTATAGTTAAGAGTCCCATATAATCTGTTTATGGTGACAGAAAAATTCCTCTATTGTTAGTAATTCACTTCTTAGGGATGATGCTGAAAAACATTGTGGAACTCATTCTTTTAAAATATTTATTATTAAACTGTTCTTTCGGACTACTCGTTCCAATTTCCACGCACATTCTTAGTAGCACTTCATAAGGTTGAGAGGTTACTTATAATCCGACTACTCGTTCCAATTTCCACGCACATTCTTAGTAGCACTTCATAAGGTTGAGAGGTTACTTATAATCCTAACATGAAAAACATTAACAGTAGCACTTCATAAGGTTGAGAGGTTACTTATAATCCTAACATGAAAAACATTAACTGATGTTGCTTTAAAAAGTAGAATTTGCAAATTCACAGTACTTGCATTTCTCAAGTCTTAAACATTTCAAGATGCACAAATCATGTCATGTCACCTCTTTGATTAGATTAGCTGGCTACTCACAGTTTGTGAGTCTCCCTATTTTAAAATAAACAAACTCTTTCAGTCAGATTGTTAGTTTTTAGTACACGGATGTTTGTCTATAATTTAGCTGTGCTGAGATCAAATTTTGTTTGCTATTTTAGGTTACTTCCCAGCTTGTTGCTAATCCTTCCTCCTTAGCAGCAGCACCAATGCAGTCTCACGTTTGGAGTGCTTCATACCCGGTTTTCTTTCCTATTGATGAGGTAGTTCTGTTAGATACTCAGAATTTTTTTTTTTTGCTCAAAGGTCTATTAGTTTCTTGCCTTACGTCGCATTTTTATCTGAAGTTGTTTTTGTTATAATGCTTATTGCTAACGTTTTATATCGAGTAGAATTAGGAATTTGCTCAACTTATTGACTTCCTTCATGGCAAGCTAAGTGGCTTATCTACTTTTGTGAAAGTCATCTACAAAGATTCAGGAAATAATTTGGTGAACCAAAGCTTCAATCCATACTCCCAAAATTAAGTAAATACAATGCACTGCTCCTGCACCCGACAAAATCTATGTTTTAGTTAATTGGAAGTCTCACACTTGCTCAAAATATCGTCAGTTCCATCACTTTCCATCTATTCAAAATATGTCTAGCCGTCATCATTTACACCCATGTTCTTGCTTGTACTTCATCACTGATTCATTCTTTAATTATGTTCAAATTAGATAAGATGCATGGTGCCTATGAATGAATATCTATTCAAAATATGTCTAGCCGTCATCATTTACACCCATCTTCTTGCTTGTACTTCATCACTGATTCATTCTTTAATTATGATCAAATTAGATAAGATGCATGGTGCCTATGAATGAATTACAGGAAGGAGCCCCGAGGAAGCAACCTGAATGGGGAATGCAAGCTCTCCCCACTTGGGGATGGCAAATGCATCGGCAAACCCCATTGCCGTTGCTCCCTTGTGCAGCATCATCAGGATTCTCGACTAACTTGGTTACAGCCACAACTTATTCACCTCATCTCCAGCTTCCTCCACCGTCTCTATCTAATGCCGCACGTCGTCACCTCCAGTTTTCTCATTCCCCTAGTTCTTCCGGCCATTTCAAAAAGTAAGTATGTGTTTTTCCGGTGAAAGTGGTCGGTGATAGCTATATTTAACTGTTTTGATTTGATGTATTGGATTCTTAATGCTTTTTTAGCTGGACCCTTTATTTTCTTGGTTATCAAACTCCTCTGTGAACCCTGAATTCAGCATGGATTCACTTATTTCATAATGTATCTGTGTTTGCTGATATCCTTATGCTGGACTGCTTTCCCTTCTTGTGTTCATCTTCTTATCAGTCTCAAAAGAACTGTCTCCAGAAACCGCAGACTAAAAAACAACAAAACCCTAATCCCAAATTTCAGTTCCATTCTTTCATTTATTATTCTTTTTTTTAAGGACTGTTTATGCAAAAAGAGAATTTGCAAAAAGAGAGAAGAACTAATCTAAGAGGGTGTTTGTTTCGGGAGGAAAACCTTGGCGAGTATTGGACAGGCTCTAACACGGTCAGAAGGTTCCCAAAAAAAAGAAGTTTCCATGGGTTTCCATAAAAAAAAAATCCTAAAAGTGGAAAAAATACCACTTTTTGCAAGAAAATCAATTTCTCTAAGAAACTGGTGAAATGGTGTGGAAAAGGTTGAAAAGGTGGGTTTTTAATATTTAAATAATGGATGATATGAGGAACTGGTAAAATATAACAGTTAGATAATGATAGAGGTTTTCATCTAAATTGGGTTTTTGTTTTCGGCTTTTTTAACCAAAAAAAATGGGATGAGTTGGAAAACATTTACTCATGTTTTCATGCCGTAACCAAAAAAAGAAAAAAAAGAAAAAAAAGAAAAGAAAATCCTACAAACACATGGAAAGGGGTGAAAATAGTTTTTTTTTTACTATTAGAAAAGCTTTCCTATTTTTAAAGGAAAAGAAACAAACAAGCTGTAAGAGCATGGGCAGCGAGCTCCCATCTCCGCTCTCAGCTCCGACGTGGCCAAGCTCCCAGATTGAACCCCCTCCAACAGCCTCCGAAGCACTCCCAACGAGCTCCCAACTAGTGACGTGGCGGCCTCCAGCTTCGGAGCTCCCAAGCGCTCCACAAATTTGTGGAGCGCTTGGGAGCTCCCAACTGGGCTAGGATTTACAAAAACCCCTCCAAAATCTAGAAATCGGGATCTTCTTCGTCTGTTGATTTGGGGATGAGTGCTTTTAGGGTCTTGTCGGTCGTTTGGAGAGATGAGCGGCTTATTTGCTGTGCGGGTGGCGTTTCGAGCAGACTGCGATGGCAGCTGGGCTGGGGTCTGAGACGGATGTGTGGCGAAGGAGGAAGAGTTGGGGTTGGTGGCTCGCGGCCTACTGTCTAAGATTTGGGGGATGAGTTGCTTTTGGGTTTCTGTCGAAGATTGGAGCTGGGACTGGCTTCGCTCGACAGCGAAGAGAAGCGACTTTCGTGAATATTTTTTTTAAATGGATTGCGATCTTTTGATTTGGCGGAAGCCAGGGCTGCTTTTGCATTTCTGTCGAAGAAATTGGGCTTGCCGGTTGAAAGCATTTGCAGCTGGCCAGTATTTTTTCTTGTTGATAATCGAACGTTGTGTGGAATATTGACGTTGTGAATATTGACGTTGCTGGAAAATATTACCTGGCGAATATTGACGTTGTGGAAATAATTAACTTTTGTAAAATTCAAAGCCTGTTGAAAAATAATTTTGTGTTGTAAAAAAACATCTAAAATCACATCTCACTACTCAAAATATTTCAGCACAACTCTCTCATAAAAAAAACTCAATATTATCGCCTATCAAATTAAAATTCTTATGGATCCCTCACAAAACTATTATTCGCGACCCTTACCGGTGAAGGCATCGACCCTATACTCGCCGATTCTATACAGAAGTCGCGAGAAGGCAAGGTCATCCCATCGAGTTCTCGCAATCGCAACACAACAAGTGTCATCCCAAGAAACCCCGACCACAAAAGAAGCAAAGAAGGCTTACACGGCGGTCCTGAAAGATGGCTGTCCACGCAGTATAACGCTTCTTGTGGTCTGCTTGGCCTGACAGACGAGCCAGAGACGCCATCCAAGGTACGGAGGCAAGCACAAAGATAAGTTTTGGCACAGAGCTAACGATTACTTTATCCAATACTCCACTGATCCATTGAGCCGCACACCAAACCAAATGATGCATCGTTGATCAACTATTCAACTGTCCGTCAACAAGTTCTGCGAGTGTGTTGCTCAGATTGAAGGACGACAAAGATCTGGTACGGGAATTATTGACCAGGTAAATATTTAACTTATATGTTTTTATGATATATATGTTTAATTATGTTTGATTATTCTAAATTTAACTCTTGTGTAGACTGCAGAAGTAAAAGAATTATACCAATCCCTTTATGGTAAGCCATTCGTGTTTGACCATTGCTGGGTTGAGTTGCGTCATCATCAAAAGTGGATCCAACAAATGGAATCTTACAATAAGATTCGATCACAGCCGAGAAGAACCACGAACTCTGATTCCTCACCAAACAATTCCATGCCAGCGACCCCCATCGAGTTGAACATTGACTCGGATGATGTTATAGCAAGGCCTGAAGGGAGGAAAGCGGCAAAACTCAAGAGGAAACAAAATGTGGACAAATCTGAGTCCGCTAAGTCCATTATGGGAGAGGCTTTCGCGTGGATGAAGCAAACCACCAATCAAAAAATAGAGCTAAAACAGAAGAAACAAGATGACGATATCATGAAGATGGATCTCTCAACACTCAATTCAGTTCAACGACAATACTTTGAAATGCGTCAGGCAGAGATATTGGAGAGGTGGATGTCCAAGGGTTCTTCCTAATTATCATATATTGTACTCGCATCGCATCCTCATTAGTTCTTCCTAATTATCAAATATTATCTTATATTAGATTTATGATTGTACTTGAAGTTGAAAAATTTGGCATTGAATGAAAATAACTACTTTATTAAAAATGAAATTGGCGTAGTACAACAACTTGAACTCCTTTTCTGAAATTATATTAGACATAAAGAAACTTAATCCTCGGCGATGGATCCCTTAAGCTGCCACAGATGCTCGATCAAATCATTTTTTAGTGATTTGTGTGTTTGCGTGTTCCTGATCCGATGATGATTTTGGATGAACTCAGTTAGAGGCACCGTCTGCACATGAGAAGGTTCAACGACTGGTACCGAATCAGTAAAGTCGAAGTTGTTGTCCAATTGACAATCTCGTTCATCTTCAACGATCATGTTATGCATTATGATACAAGCTGTCATGATATCTTTCAGCACACAAGGTTGCCAGAAACGTCCTGGTCCACGAACAATCGCAAATCGAGCTTGCAACACGCCAAAAGCTCGCTCAACATCTTTTCTTGCGCTCTCTTGTTGTTGAGCAAAGTATTTATGCTTATTTCCTCGTGGTGCTGGAATAGTCTTCACTAATGTGGACCACTCTGGGTAAATCCCGTCGGCGAGATAGTATCCCATATTATACTCGTGGCCATTGACAGTATAGTTGCACGGTGAAGCTCTTCCCTCCGCAAGTTGTGCGAAAACCGGTGAACGATGTAGAACATTAAGGTCATTGTGAGACCCCGGCAGTCCAAAGAAGGCATGCCATATCCAAAGATCTTTGCTAGCTACGGCCTCCAAAATAATTGTGGGTTCATGAAAATGTCCAGTATACATACCTTGCCAGGCAGTTGGACAGTTCTTCCATGTCCAGTGCATGCAGTCGATGCTCCCAAGCATACCAGGAAAACCTCGTTGTGAGCCTTCCTCGAGCAGGCGTGCAACGTCTTCATTAGTCGGTGCACGAAGGTATTCCTCTCCAAAGATGTTGATAATCGATCGAACGAACCTCTTCACGCTCTCAAGCGACGTACTTTTACCGATCCGAACGTAGTCGTCAACGGAGTCAGCGGATGCTCCATATGCGAGCATCCGCATAGCTGCAGTAATCTTTTGAAGACTAGATAGTCCTAACTGTCCAGCACCATTCCTCTTTTGGACGAAGTACTTGTCATGTTCGACGACTGCGTCGTGGATTCGAAGGAATAACGAACGCCTCATTCTGAACCTTTGACGAAAATAATAAAGAGGATAGGTTGGTGCGTCAGCAAAATAATCTTGGAATAACCGATTGTGGCCTTCCAGTCGGTTTCGATTGAGCACGATACGTCGTTTGTGTTGAACTGAAGTTGAAGATTTCTCTTGTTCTTCTTCCTCAACGACAACAGCTCCCATAAGAAAGAACTTCTTCATCATTTCATCATCGCTAGAGCTAGATGAGCTAGACATTTTATTCTGGGAGATGATGGGTTGAGGAGAGAAGCCGTCGAATTTTATAGGAATCAGTCGGTTGACGGTCAAAGTTTGCGATACCTCGAACTTCGTGCCCAATCTCGAAGACCGCGGGTTACCTCGAAGACCGTGTGCGTTACCTCAAAAGCCGCGGGTTACCTCGAAGACCGTGTGCGCTCCCTCGAAGACCGTGGGTTGCCTCGAAGACCGTGTGCAACGGTTAGAAATAAAATACAAGAGGTTTAAATATAATTAAAAGTAATGGGTGAAATATTAAAATAGAAGAGGGGTTTTTTTGATATTGTTGGAGCTCCTAACTAGGAGCTTGTTGGAGCTCCATAAAAGAAGGAGTGCCTCCCAAGGTATAATTTATTAATTTTTTATTTTAAAAAGCTTGAGAGCTCTTGAGAGCATGCTGACTAGGACTCCCAACTGGGAGCTTACTGCACTTGCTCTAACTCTAAATTTCTTACTACTATGTGATTATTATGTTGTGCTTGCCTGCCAATTGGGCAGACACAGGCTTAGTTTTTTCCAAACAACATTTTCCCCAAAATGTGATCATGAATATCTGGGGCCACATTTTGAATGATTGCCAAACATAGCCTTAGATGTCAATTTGTGATATTTGAGATAGGTTATGCTTTTTACATTCCGCTGTGGCTACGCATAATTCGGAAAATTGTTAGGTCATTATTGCAAAAGAAACTGGCTTTAAATTTTGCAAAACACCCTTCACTCTCAAGACTTGTGTCCAAGATGGGAGAAAACAATTAATGAGGTTATCTTATCTTATAAATTAAAAACAAAGCTTGAAAGTTACTATTCACACTATAGTAAATAGTACTCATGATACACCACATTTCAAATTAAAGGTACTGTTCATTAAGTATGATTGAGAACATTTAAATTACTGTTTATGCTAAGGTATATCAACAGCC